AGATGTAAGCAGAAGAACCACAGTCCAGCCATGTGTCGCACAATGCAATCACCTCACCACTCTAGACCACGTGTAAATATCATCCATGAAGATGAAGACTCGGATGAATATTTCACCATCAACTCACTCACTCTCACAGAGCCAGTGATAGATGTGCATCAGGTGCAAGAGGAGTCTGAATATCCCAGACAAATATTCGCATCCATGAACATTGCAGGTAAACCAGTTTCATTTCAAGTCGACATGGGAGCCACCTGCAACCTGATACCAAGTTCTCTACTACCTCCTACTACAGAATTACAGCAGACATCCCAGTTGTTGAGAATGTACGACAAGACTGTCGTCAAGCCTTTAGGCAAATGCCCTGTAAAAGTAGTCAACCCCAAGGATGGGAGAAAGTACAAGGTAGACTTTATTTTCCTCAGTGACCCTTGTGCTACGCCAATATTAGGCAGTCACGCGTCTATGAGTATGAAGTTGATAAGAGTGGATCATGAACACATTACTATGGTTGATAAAGTAATGACAGCATCCATGCACTCAATTAATATTCCTCAGAATCTAACATTGAAGGGAGTAGAAGAGGAATTCAAAGATGTCTTCACGGGAACAGGAGAGTTTGAAGGAGCATACAAGATCCGACTTGACACATCGGTGGCATCAGTCGTTCACCCTCCAAGGAAAGTGCCACTAGCACTGAAGCCGAAGCTGAAGGCTGAACTAGAGCGTCTGGTGAACCTTAAAATACTCGCTCCTGTCACTGAACCAACACCTTGGGTATCTAGTCTCGTCATCGTGGAGAAACCCAATAAACTTAGGATTTGCATTGATCCAAAAGACCTAAACCGGGCAATTCTCCGCAGTCACTACCCACTACCAACTATTGAGGATATCTTACCGGACCTTGGCAAAGCTAAAGTGTTTAGCGTTGTGGACGCAAAGAATGGGTTTTGGCATGTGGCTATGGAAGACCGTAGTTCATACCTCACTACCTTCAACACCCCGTTTGGACGTTTTCGTTGGTTACGTATGCCGTTTGGTATATCCTCCGCTCCAGAGGAATTCCAGCGACTGCAAGATCAGATCATAGAAGGGCTCAAGGGTGTACGAGGAGTTGCGGATGATATTCTCATCTATGGCGAAGGAGACTCCATTGAAGAAGCATCTGTAGATCATGATGCAAACTTCAGAGCGCTCATGGAACGCTGCAGAGCTCGCAACCTGCGGATCAACCCCAACAAGATAACATTTAAAGTACAGGAAGTTACCTTCATCGGACATCGTCTTACATCCAATGGTCTAGAGCCTGACCCAGCAAAGACCAAAGCTGTTCTCGATATGCCGAAACCAACAGATGTACAAGGTGTACTTCGCTTCGTTGGATTCGTGAACTATCTAAGCAAGTTCCTCCCACATCTAAGCAGTGCCTGTGAACCGCTAAGGCAGCTGACTCTGAAGGATGTTGAGTGGCATTGGGAACAGATTCATGATGACGCCGTCGATGATATCAAGAGGCTTGTAAGCAAGTACCCTGTGCTCAAGTTCTTCGACACACAGAGTCAGGTCACAATTCAGTGTGATGCATCTATGTCAGGTTTGGGCGCAGCTCTTCTCCAAGATGGTCAACCTGTGGCCTATGCTAGTAGGGCATTGACAGACGCCGAAACCAGGTATGCCCAAATCGAGAAGGAATTGTTGGCAGTTATATATGGGCTGGAAAAGTTCCACCAATACACGTACGGAAGGCCAGTTGACGTTCAATCTGACCACAAGCCACTTGAGACTATAGTTAGGAAGCCACTACACAGTGCACCCAAGCGTCTGCAGAGAATGTTGCTAAGACTGCAGCGCTACGACATACAGCTCGCATACAGGCCTGGGAAACAGATGCAGTTAGCCGACACATTAAGCAGAGCACCACTGCCTGAACTTGAAGATACAGGAATGGACCAGGAATTCATCAACATGATAGACTACGTCCCAATTGCTAAACCAAGAATGGAACAGATACGGGAGAAAGTCAAGTCGGACGCAGATCTACAACAAGTGTATGACATCATTTGGAAGGGCTGGCCGGATCAGTTGAAAGATGTTCCTGATGCTGCAAGACCATACTTCCACTGTTGAGATGAGTTGACTGTACAAGATGGAATTATCTACCGAGGTCAAAGAGTAGTGATTCCCCGAATCCTGAGAAGAGACTTGTTAGTGCAAATTCATTCTTCACACATTGGAGCAGAAGGATGTCTCCGACGTGCAAGGGAATGTATTTACTGGCCTGGGATGAATGGGGCAGTCAAAGATTATGTCGCAAAATGTGACATCTGCCGTGGAAGCGACAGGGAACAAGCTAAGGAACCCTTGTTGTCACACGCAGTAGCAGACCGACCATGGTCCAAAGTTGGAGCAGACCTGTTCGTTCTAGATGGCAACAACTATCTCATCACTGTAGATTACTTCTCAAACTATTGGGAAATTGATTACCTTACAGATACCAGGTCAGCCACAGTAGTGAACAAGCTAAAGGGACAGTACGCACGACATGGCATACCAGACACTTGCATATCTGACAACGGTCCACAGTTCTCAGCAGAGGAATTCAAGAAATTCGCTCATGACTGGGGATTTAATCATGTAACATCCTCTCCAGCCTACCCTCAGAGCAACGGAAAGGCAGAACAGGCAGTGAAAACTGCAAAACAATTACTGAAGAAAGCCAAACAGGCCAAGAGTGACCCTTACTTGGCCATACTGAACTTTCGTAACACACCGACACAGGGTCTTGACTCGAGTCCTGCTCAAAGGCTCATGAGCAGGCGAACACGAACATTGTTACCTATCCCTGAAAATCTGCTGATTCCGGAGACTGTTTCAGGAACTACTGAAAAGATGAGAAACCTCAAGTACAAGGCAGCTCAATACTACAACCAGGGTACGAAACAGCTTCCTTTTCTTCAGAGAGGTGATAGCGTGAGAATCTCACCCAAAACAATTGGTGACAAACTGTGGCGGAAAGCAGAAGTCTTGGGACCAATCAAAGACAGACCCCGTTCCTACGAGGTCATTACAGAGGACAATCAGATCCTGAGACGAAATCGCAGACATCTGAGAAAAACATCTGAATCACCAAGTCGTGAAACACTCGAGGTAACAAGGAAATCTCCAAAGCTGACAGACATCAGCTCACCTGAGACGACAAGTGTGAACGTACCTTCCAGAGGTGTGCATCACAGTCCTGCACACACACCTGCGAAGTCACAGACAGAACATGGGTACCAAACCCATGAACCCCAGCAGCGTGTTACAACAAGGTCAGGTAGAGAGATACGCAAACCAGAATATCTCAAGGACTACACAGAATAGGACGTATCAAGTTAAAGTGTTAAAAAAAAAATTAAAAAAAATGTTAGCAGTTAAACTTAATTTAAGTGGGTCAACTAACCGACTTTCAGTCTTACGTTTGTTGTCCATTCTCAGTTAAAGTTAATGTTTCTCATTTTTATGTTGGACAGTCACCAGAGACATGAAGGTGTTCATAATCTTCCCTACTGTGCCATGATGACTCTTGAGCAAGTGAAAGTTACCAACAGTGACATACAAGAAATGCGATATACAAGGAACAGTTGTGCCAAATATTTTGACTTTAACTTATGACTCTAGTCATCCATCAATACACCCTACATTCCATGCGAACTTTAATTTGTTTATTGAAAGGGAGATGTGACAAGTAGTCTCACTATTAGCAGCATTTGTGTATGACGTCATTTGTATAACGTCATGTGTATGACGTCACAACTTTGGGTGTTCCGCCATCTTGCCGACTGAGTAAAGTATGTCAACTAAACTCTCACAGTTTGTGGTATCTTAGAACCCCAAGATTCATGTCTTTGTCTAAGACAGACATGAAGCCTTAAACACACTTGACATCGTACAAACACCATGTAGACAATAAAACCAAGTGATCATGAAGCCAAGCACCTGTGTGGTGTGTCTAGTCATGGCGACAAGCGCGTCTCCTGTGTGTCTGGATCTGGCACCAACCACCTAGCAGCTCTTATCCTTATGAAGGCGACATACAGCTTATGGTCATGCAACCAGCGGGATGCAGCAGGCTGGTGAGATTGCCAGTCTGGGTTATCAAACAGAGCTGTGACCTTGGACACGATCAACTGAAACACTGGGTCGAGGTGCCAGGCTTGACAGCCACCATGCAGAGGACCCATCTGGTAGAAAAAGCAGACAAGACTGGTCACCAGTGAAGATTCCTCCATGATTAAGTGAGTGCTCTGGCTTTCTTTCTCAGCATATCTGCGGATAAGCCTTGAAGTCTCAGAACCAAAGGGGCCGACACTCATAGTGCCTAACAACAGTACACAGGTTGCAAACTGGGCATAAGTCGAAAGGGTCCTCGGCACACATAGAGCACCCTCAGCAACAAGATTTAAACATGCAATTCTGCAAACATAGCAAACCAAGCATGAATGTGTAATAACTAAAATACAAAAAGGAATGAGTTGTTCTCAAGGGATGATGATTCCAGTCATGTTAAAAATAATTCAAAATTGTAGTTCCCCTATCACAGTGGACATGTGTCTGGGATGAGGGTGGGATTATGATAATTAATCACACTGGGAGCCCAGTGGGAATACTAGTCTCATCTACGCTATACTCCATCAGCATGTACATTCAATTATAATTTCATCATGTTGTAATATGTGCCTATGGCATAAAGTACAGAATCCACTCCATCTGTTTGTCTGACAAAGACAGCCATTAAAAAATAGTGCCAGAGCATTGTAGCTCACCTGGACATGCTTAAAAATGTCAACAAAGTTAGCCACTGATATGTACAACCATAAGCTAAACATCTAAATCAATTGTCTGAACCTCTGGGATAATTATTTATGCCTCCTTGAGGTTGAGTGTGTGTCCTACATTAAAAGTTGTGTGCTAACTTTAAAGTTGGTCAAGAATGTTGAGAGCCACAGAATAATACATACCTCTGTTAAAGAGAGTTCTGGAGAATTACAATCAACTGGTACCAGTGTTTCAAGGCTACAGCTTCCACGTAAACTGTCGTCAGGAGTATGAACTGTAAAAACAAGTAACTAAAGAAATGGTGTGACAGGTTCATGTATCAATAGGTTTCAAAGGCTTCAAAATTTGCACTATAGCTCACCAAGTAATGTGATATTCCATTTGAGCCAACGTCTTAGATTGTCAACAAAATTTGGACATCAATATTCCATATCAAATATATTTTTAATCTTCCAAAGTCGTAAGTCTAGTAGTCTAAAAAAGATTATCATTGGTTATAACAGATAATTTGATATTTTAATATGTTTGAATTTGCATGTTTCATGTTGCATATTTATCATTGTTGATAATTCTAAGAATACTACCTCAATTACATCACCGTGATCATTGCCATCATCCTGCATTTAGGCTGTCATCACATAATAACTAAATGTTCAGATTTATTACAAAAGTCCTCAATACAATTAGTTAATTTCCTAGAGAGAGAAAATTCATAATATTCATAAAAAGCATTTTATAATATCTAAGTGAAAGAGCCGAAATCACACCCTCCGTAATCGGCTTCCAAAACAAACCTATTTGGGGGTTTGGCCTAAAGCTGCAGTTGAAGAGGTGACAACTGTTTTCATTGGCCAACTTTGTTGGGGCAGGGGATAAAAAACAACCTTTATGTGGCATTATCCAACAAATTGTACAATATAAATTTCAGCTATTACCAAATGTCCATGATTAATGAGAATACAATGTGTAGATTTACATTTTCTCAGCTAGTGTAACCTACTGATAAAACAAAATGAAAATGGCAGTAATTTAAAGAACACGGCTGAATGTTATCTTTAGTCCTCAGTAAATTAATCTATAACATATATCCAGATTCCAGTTGAAAAGTTAAAGAGCTACCTAAACCTTTAAAAGTGAAGCTTTTGAAGGAAAATACCATTAAAACTGCTGATTCATATTTGATCATAAGATATCAATTGGAACATACCATGCCTTATTGATATATATCATGCAGTGTTAGTATATAGGATAAACTGTACTGTGTTGGGACATACCATGCAGTGTTGGGATATACAGTCAAGTCTCGTTAATCCGACACTCGTTAATCCGACACTCGGCTTTATCCGACACAAATGATGGGAACCGATTGATTCAGCGCTATTTAGTCCCGTTAATCCGACATTCTCGCACTCCGACTCCGACACACCTAATTTGCAACGAATTACCGAAATCACTCATTAATCAGTCTCGTTAATCCGACACAGTGGTCAGCGTACTCCGTGGTCATCTACCCGCGAGTACACAACCCCGTGTTTTGACACGCACTGGCTGCAGAGATTAACTTTAACAATTAACACTAGATGCCGGGATCATAAAGAATTTCAAGCTTTATTATAAGAAACAAATGAAATTACACCTCGACAATGTTGATGCTGAAGAACCACCAGCCCTAGACGTCAAGCGAACAGGGGACTTTGAGAAATGTGCCTTCGAAATGTGAGAAACAGAAAACACTGACAGACTATTTAAAGTAGATGAAGCAAGTTGTTAAGACAGTAGCACTTGCATTTACACGAGGAAACACACGGTTATTATCTATCGTGAAGATGTCCGATTTTCGATCACAAATCACTTAATTTCGTTAATCCGACATACTCGTTAATCCGACATAATCATGTGCAACCAACGATGTCGGATTAACGAGACTTGACTGTACCTTGCATTGTTGGAATATCCTGTGCAGTGTTGGGCTATACCCTGCATTGTTGGGATATAGGATATACCATGCAGTGTTGGTATATACTGTGCATTTTTGGGATATACCGTGCAGTGTTGGGATATGCCATGCAGGGTTGGGATATAGGATATACTGTGCAGTGTTAGGATACACCATGCAGTGTTAGGATATACCATGTACTGTTAGGATATCTAACAATAGTTATCATTGTGTATAATTCTAAGAATACTACCTCTATTACATCATAGCCATAAATTCCTGTTTATGCTGAGAACCACACTACAAATTTTAATAAATTTTCAAAAGACGTCCTCTTCACTGCCAACATATCTAATAGTTGTGAGGGAAACCCTATCCCTTGCAGGAGATGCCACTGCGCATGCGCAAGGCGGGCAACACCTCACTTCTTTCAACCCATAACCTTCATCAACTAAATTCCTGATGTAATAGTGGTAGTATTCTAAGAATTATGCACAATGATAACTATTGTTAGATAATTCTTGTGAATACCTTACCTCTATTACATCCAGTATACACCAGAAGGACTGGTGGGAGCTGGTATCTAGTATCCCTTAGGTAGTTGGCTTTTGTGAAGTGGGAATACATGAATTGTATACAAAAGGGACCAAAACGGATTAGGTTTAATAACCTAACTTCAAGGATAGACATAGATGACGTCATATTACTAATATTATATACATATATTGAGCCATCAATGTGATACTTAAACATATTATGACATCACTTCCGGTTGTCATTTCTATGACCTCACTTGCGTTTATATGTCTCATATGACATCACATCACTTTCCGTTTAGGCCCTTTAGGATAGTGATATTTAATGTATATTGATGTTAGTCCTGACGTGAAGTCTCCCATGACATCACTTCTGGTGGTAGTACGTCATACATCCTAGATTATCAAGTAGAAACCGTATATCACTTTGTATCCTTTGATCTCTGACACGCACGCACGCATGCACACGCACACACACACACACACACACACACACCAGTTCCTGAGAGAAGAAGGGGTTGCAAGGCCAAGGCTACTTGGAGACTATCACCTGGGCTGCCACCAAGGGTCCCAAAGTGTATAATGCTTCGAGATCGGTCTATATGTCTCGGAAGTAAAACTTTAACAACATGTTATAGGACTTCCACTGGCAGCTAGCTATGACTTGTTCAATGGAGACTGTATTCCATGTGACTAGACTTGTTGAAGAGCTCTGATCTCGTGAGGTCTGCAGCTTCCCCAAGTTGGTGTGGAGACATGTGCCAGTCTGTAACTATCTACAAACATCGATCTGAGCCATCCACAAAAGTACCCTTGCTTATGTCCTTTTCTGACAAGGGTTTGCAAGAGATAAAAAGATGTTTTCTCTGCTTTCTGTGGTGTTGAGTAGTTGTAATGAAGTCTCTCAAGGCTCTTATGGGACAAAGTAATCTGTCTGGATAGTCCACACTTTTACTTAAGGCTGGTATTGTATATTGCCTGGCTCCGAGTGGGCCGAAGGTTGATGACTGGTTTTTGGTAATAACATCCAGAAGTGATCTGAACGACACTGATTTCCATATTTGGGTATGAGTTACAGTGGAAATGTCAGTAGTGTGTAATTCTGATACACGAGCCCCAGTGGCTATGGCTAGGAGAAAACCATTTTTCCTGGAAACTAATAGTAATGTCACACTACCCATGGGTGGTTTCATCAATGCTGACAATACTATAGATAGATCCCATTTGGGAAATATATGTGGTGTTTTAATGTCTTCCAGTGCAAAAGACTTCGATTCAATACTGGGTGGATACCTATAGATATGTTGTAATACTGATGCCAGGGCAGATCTATAGCCTGTGACAGTGCCATGTCGAAATTTCTTGTCGTTTCTGATGAACAGCAAGAATTTGACAACTATAGGTATCTTTATCTCCACATCTAAAGAATTTCTCCTTCTCCACTCAACGAACTTGTCCCATCCATTATTGTATAGGGCAGACGATGCTGGTCTCCATGAGTTTGCCACTCTTTGTGCAGCTGATTTAGAGTAAACGGCGGCTTGCTTCTTATTTGAGATAACTTCCAAGCGTGAAGGTGGAGATTGGGCGAACGTAAAATATGTCCCATTTCGGTTGTCTCATTAAATCGTGACGTATCGAGAGTTTCAGAGCTTTTTCCATTAGGAGGGGTAGTAACCTTGGAAACCAAGCCTTGTTTGGCCATGCCGGGGCTATAAGTATTATGACACAGTCTGTCTCTTCTATTTTCTTCAGAACTCTGTCTAGAAGAGCCCATGGGGGAAATGCACAAGCGAACATTCCCTCCCAGTCCATAGAAAGAGCGTCTACCTGGAGAGCTAGCGTGTCTGGTACAGGGCTGACATTGTCTGGTAGTTTGTTGAGTGAGTGAGTGAGTTTGAATTTACAACACTTTTAGCAATACTCCAGCAGTATCACAGCGGGGGACACCAGAAATCGGCTTCACACATTGTACCCATGCCGGGAAACGAACCCAGGTCTTCGGCGTGACAAGCGAACGCTTTAACCACTAGGTTACCCGACCACCCCCAGTTTGTTGTTGAGACATGTGGCGAGTAGGTCTAGGTTTGGAGTATCCTATAGGGAGGTTATCCACTTGAATATTTCGGGATATAGTGACCATTCCCTGGGTACGATCTTGCTTTCCCGGGATCGGTAATCTGCTGGAATATTCAACTTGCCCGGTATGTGTCTTGCTTCGATCCTGCAAGTCACTGAGTCTACCAAGGCAAATAAATTTGTAGCCTCCTACAACAAAGGCTGATACTTTGTGCCCCCCTGGTGCTGTATGTAAGCAACCTCAGTTGAGTTGTCTGTAGCAATCTTTACTGACGAGTGGCCATGCTTCTAGAGCTAGATATATCACTCTCATTTCTAGGCAGTTGATGTGTAACTCCTTTTCTTGGTGGACTATTTTCCCTGTACTGTAATATCGTCCACATGGGCACCCATGTGTAGAGTTGATGTAGAGGGGAGGGGGGAATATGAGAGTGGAATACCGGGCATGACGTTATGGCGAGTTAGCCACCAATGCAGTTCTGAGATTCGCAACTGGCGGAGATTGAATTAGTTTTTGTAGCTCTAGGATTTTGGTAGTGTTCATCCAGTTTAGCAGGGGTTGTAACTGCAGTCTACCTCTGTAGGTTAGATCTTGGATGGAGGTGAGCGTGCCTAGGCAAGAAATCCACCAGCATCTTGATTTGATGGGCTGGTCGAGTGCGCTTCATATGTCTTTGACCCTTGTATATCTGTCCTCTGGAGGGCTACTATGCCCATGTTGAG